TCTTCACCAGGGGCAAGAATGACGACCAGGACCTGCAGGGACGATTGAACCACCTCGAAGCCCAGCATCTTAATGGTGAGAGCACCCAGGCCCCCTGCCGTTACATAGGACAGCATGCTCCATGCTCCACAAGCTTTCAGAACATGGGTCCTCAAACTACGGCCCACAGGACGGATCCAGCCCGCCGTGGCCGTCCACACGGTCTGCACCGCCGTTCGCCACCTGGGCGGGGAGGTGGTCGCTCACTCGGTTGGAGATGGTCTCCAACCAAGCAAGCAGCTGCCGTGTGTGCCTGATAAAGTTTGGGGACCCCTGGTCCAGAGAAATAATGTATAAATAATGCAAGTAATAAGCCACTAAAATTAAAAATCCAACATAAAAAATAAAACACTAGAGACAAGAATAAACTCATACCTGGACTATTGTGGCCAGCTCTGGGAACCTAAATTTTTATTTTGGGATGCATTAACACAAGTATTACTTCCAAATCATGAGACGTAGTACTTCCTTTATACTCCTCACTAGTCAGGCCTCACCTGGAATACTGTGTCCAGTTCTGGGTGCCAAGATTTAAGAAGGATGCAGAAGAATTAGAAATGGCTGCCTAATGCTTGGAACAATAAAGGGCAAAAGAAGGAGGGGACAGCAGAGGATGGGGTGGCTGGATGGAGTCACTGAAGCAGTCGGCGTGAGCTTAGGTGGACTCTTGGGGATGGTGGAGGACAGGAAGGCCTGGAGGAGTGTCGTCCATGGGGTCGCGATGGGTCAGACACGACTTCGCAACTAACAACAACAAACAGAAGGCAACAAAAATGATCCAGGGTTTGGGAAGAAGGATGGGAAGTTTGGAAAGAAGGTTGCTGGATGGAGTAACTGAAGCAGGGCTGCACTCCAACGGAAGGCCTTCTGCTCCAGGTCAAGGCATTCATGTAGTCCCGGCTCAGCACTGAACCTCGCGCTTGGAGAGCAAAGAAGAGCCGCTCGGATGCTGGCCCCGTTCCCCCTCGCCCCGCCCCCACTCCTGCACAGCAGAAAGGAGAGGGAGAGGCCCCGTGGCTTCCCCACTGTGGGGTCCTTTCTGAGGGGGAAGACCCCCACCAGCACAGCAGCTCTGCCATCCTCCATGCATTTATTTATTGAGACTGCTTATATGCCGCCCCCTTCGCATAAGCCTCCGGGTGGCTTACAGTAATTAAAATCCCGCATATAAATACAAAAAACAAACAAACCATAGAATAAATAAAATACATAAAATAGTGGAAACAGCCTGGTCAGTTTCAAATCAACAAATAAACCTTAACTATTAAAACAGTGTTTAAATAAAAAGATTCCCGGAGAAGGCATCTGCCGCTGATCGCAAGCTGCGGGAGGGCATATATGAACGCAGGCGCTCCTTTAGGTAACCAGGACCTAAGTCGTTCAGGGCTTTGTAGGTGATAACCAGCACCCTGAATTGGGCCCGGACTTCAATGGGGAGCCAGTGGAGCTGACAGAGAACTGGGGTTATATGAGAACAACGTCCAGTCCCCGTCAGCAGCCTGGCAGCTCTATTTTGCACCAATTGAAGTTTCCGGACCGTCTTCAAGGGTAGCCCCACGTAGAGCACGTTACAGAAGTCTAGTTGGGAAGTGACCAATGCGTGAGTCGCTGTCGCCAAGCAGTCGTTCCCCAGGTAGGGGCGCAGCTGGTGAATCAGCCGAAGATGAAAGGAAGTGCTCCTCGCCACCGCTGTTACTTGAGCTTCAGCGAAAGCTCTGGGTCGAGGAGTACTCCCAACCTGTTTTTGTGAATCTTCCCAGTACATTCCCCATCCATGCTGAACCTTAGCTGGGATAAGTAGAACAGGAGACGGTGTTCCTAGTGCAGTTGCTACAGAGAACTGTACAAGCGGAATAAGACCCAGAAATTCTACCTTCACTTCCATTCCCCACTGTGACCAGAACAGCATCTGACATTTTCAGAGCGAAAGTGAAATGGGCTGACATTTTCATCACACAGTCTACCCTCAAGATTCCTCCCTCGCCCACGGCATGTTTTTGCAGAACCTCTCCCCATGTGGGTTCTTTGATGTTGAGTGAGGGCTGCACTCCGACTGAAGGCTTTTTCACATTCCATGCATTTGCAAGGCTTCTCTCCAGTGTGGATTCTTTGATGCAGTATAACATATCCCCTCTGACTGAAGCTATTTCCACATTCCATGCATGTGAATGGCTTCTCCCCTGTGTGGGTCCTGTGATGTTGGGTAAGTTCTCCACTCGCACTGAAGGCTTTCCACATTCCATGCATGTGTATAGTTTCCTCCCTGTGTGTGTTCTTTGATGTCCATTAAGGGCTGTACTCTGACTGAAGGCCTTTCCACAGTCCATGCATGTGAATGGCTTCTCTGCAGTGTGGGTTTTTAAAATAAACTTTATTAAAATTTTTAAACTAACGCTAAAACATCAATCATCTAATACATCAGACATACATTCTTATTTACTAATGTCCCAGTATAACGCCTAAGAAAAAAGAAAATTCAGGTTTAAGAAACTAAGGATTTTTGTACCACTTCCTCTACCATATACAATAAAAAATACCCAATATATGTTTACATATCCAGCATCCATTTGACATCTTTAAAAACTTCTTGGCTAACCTATTTGGCAACAGCTACCACCTATAACACATCTTATACAAGCTTTCTTTATAGGAAGTTGTTAATATTTCATCTAATTTAAGCATCACTTAGTCAAATACTATTAACTCCCTACAAAAACCCCACTCTTTACAATCTTTAACATATCTCGATTGCATCTGCACCTTATGTCACCAAAAGATATCAATTCCCTGTTCTTGTATTTCTTAGCTCAATTTCAATCCTCCATCTTTATCCAAAATGTACATCATATCTTATAATCCCTTCGACATTCAATGCATTTGGATACAGAGAAGCTTCCAAGGGTGAAAAAAACATCTTAGTATACCTTTTCCTACATCAACATGAATGGTTTTCAGGTATAGTAACTTTAAAAAAAAATCATGCAACTTAGCCTTCTCATACCAAATGTGTCAACCCATTTAAATCATTCCTTTTAAGATAGAAAATTCTCTCA